AGTCATAGCTATTGCAGAGGCTGCCTGCTTGTCTTCACTTGATAAAACCAGCCTAGAGTAGGTTTATTGTAATTTGATTTTTGCTTTACTGGATTGACTCTCCCAAATCAGGTTCACATCAATTCATTGCTGGAGTTTCTGACGGACAAATATAATCAACCATATGTTCTGCTGAATATTGCTGTTGACGTTTCAGGTATATTTGTTTCCGCTTTCATAGACTAGTGGAAATTCATTTGATTCTACTATGTTATTATTCATTGTTGTTGTTGTTGTTGTTGTGTGTTATCGACGCTAGACTCTTGCAGGGATAACTAAATAACATGCGATAAACTTTATCATTTCTACAGGACGAATTTGAACTTGTTTAGTCCTGCACAACCCTGGTATTAAGAATTAGTTATTTGGTGGACGATTTTGGGAGCAGGGTTCAAGTCAGTAAAATGCATTAATCTAATACAGATACTTAAGTTAGGTCAATCCAAATCAGTAGGTACATTAGCAATGAAACGTGTTGAATGGACTCTAGAGTGACCGAGCAGGATTCAAAACAGAACATTGTGTGTAATCATACTCTTTGAAAATAGGTCCTATACTTGCAGGTGCAGCTCTCGCTTGTTTACTGTGCAACATACCGTATCCCTGAAGCTACTCGTCCCGACTCTCGTCTGATCTCGGAAACTCAATCCTTTGATGGGAGCCCATCCCTCAGTTCAATTTGAGGTAATTAATGTAGTCTGATCGAACTGTTGTGTATATGATTATAGTGACAGAGGAGGCCGCTGACCATAATCCGTTTTTCTCTCTCTCGGAGTTTGGGAGATAATTCAATTTGCTGGCAGTGGAGGTGTAACACAACAACACAACAACAAAATGATAATACAGTAGCTAAGAATCAGAATGATTCCCACTTGTCTTGAAAAGAAAAATATCTGAACAGACGTTCTGCGTACAGTGAAGAACGCAGCAGCCTCATCCTCTGTATGCCTCAGAGAAATGAAAAAAGCTTCACCAAGCACTCTGGTATTCCAGGCGGTCTCACCTCCAAGTACGTAACCAGGCCGCCGCACCCTTCCTCGTGCCTCGCTTACTTCCGAGATCAGTCGGGATCGGGCGTGCTCAGGGTGGCTATGCGCCGTAACGCGAGAAGCTTGCCCTGAATGGACCTTTTACAGACGCGTTGTTACCGCCATGTTTTTTTTCTGTCGGATTACGAGTCCATTCAAGACGTTTATTTATGTACCCTACCCGATTTGATGACAACTATTCTGTATTGTTTATCATTTACTGCACTTGAACTCTCCAAAATCAGGTCCCACCAAAATCAATTCAATTAACACGTGGCTGCTGCAGGACAAAAATTGCAACCATTCCTGGTGAGAAGTTTAGATATTATCCTGCAGTGGACGAAGTGATAACAAAACACCACAACAACAACAACAATGATAATCACATAGACGAATCAAATGATTCCACTGTCTTGAAAGGAAAAATATCTGAACAACGTTTCTGCTTATCCAGTGACCCCGCAGCAGCTCGCTGCTGTATGCTC